CCTCAGCCTCCCAAAGTGCTGGGATTACAAGCTTGAGCCACTGTGCCCGGCCCTCTGCCATCATTTTTTAACAAGTTCCTGTTGATAGACATATATTTAGTTTCCAGTCCTTTGCTATTACAAACCAAATTTCAAGGCACAAGCCACATTAAATATACTTTTGGGGATAAATTTCATGTTTAGGAATTTACAAAGATCCCTTCCTTTCTGAGAAGTGAAATAGTCTGGCAGAAGCTGGCTGTGTCAGCCATGATTTTTTGCCATTAAGTAACATTACATCTTTTTCAACAAGGCTCCTGAAGACTTTGAGTGTAATTTGTTAATATCTGATGTCTGGATTGGTCATAAGGGTGCTAAGCAGCACTTAATGGATTGGAGGGTGTGCCACAGGGTGAATTCCCTACATGAGCCACTTCTTGGTGATTCAGCTTTCCATGCTGTGAAATGGGGAGAAATGAAAAAATTGCCTTTGCTGAGGGGTGTGTGGAGAATTTTCATTTTTGCTCCAAGAAAACCAGAGGAAAGGTCCCCTTGAGAATTAGGTGTGCCCTGAGTCTCCAACCCCTTCTCTCCATTCCCATTTTCTCCCCTGTTTTATAAAGCTTCCTGGAGAGTCATGGTGGCTCATGCCTGTAATCCCAGCACTTTGGAAGGCTGAGGCAGGAGGATCCCTTGAGGATAGGAGTTGAAGACCAGCCTGGGAAACATAGTGAGATTTCATCTCTAAAAAAGGTTAAAAACAAACAAAACTAAATAAAGTGCTTTCTATGTCTTGGTCAGATGATCTACTGGCCCCCTACTCCCTTAAACTGTCACTGATCTCCCTTAAACTGTCACTGATCTCCCTTTCCTGTACCCTTTAAGATCTTATTCTTTTCAAACAAAATAATGCCTGTGATTTGAGATTTTCACTCTAGACTGCAATAGAAGACATCTGTATGGCATTCAGAGCATTTTAAAAATAGAAATTTATCAAAAAGATTAAACAAGAGTTCATGTTTGAACTGTGGTTGGTGAGTCCTTAGGGACATTCTACAAGACTTTCAAAAGACAGTTGCAGGTTTTTACTATTTTTTTTTTTTTTTTTTTTTGAGACGGAGTCTCGCTCTGTCGCCCAGGCTGGAGTGCAGTGGCCGGATCTCAGCTCACTGCAAGCTCCGCCTCCCGGGTTTTTACGCCATTCTCCTGCCTCAGCCTCCCGAGTAGCTGGGACTACAGGCGCCTGCCACCTCGCCCGGCTAGTTTTTTTTGTATTTTTAGTAGAGACGGGGTTTCACCATGTTAGCCAGGATGGTCTCAATCTCCTGACCTTGTGATCCGCCCGTCTCGGCCTCCCAAAGTGCTGGGATTACAGGCTTGAGCCACCGCGCCCGGCCGGTTTTTACTAATTTTAATTGGAATTACCAGGGTAATTGTCTTTGCTCTATTTCATTAGCCCCTCACTACCACTCACATGTCCTTGTGCACACTTGGTCTTTAGAAGTTCAAAATACTTAGTGGAGCATATTTAGTCTTTTCAAATCCCTCCAAGGGTGGCTGTGAGCAGGATGAGGTCTGTCGGACAAGCAGGAGAATGTGATCTGCCTGGGTGATAGGAAAGCCTTGGACAGAGGTGGGCAGCTGCAGTTCTGGGGAGTGAGGCAGTTGATGAGGATCCAGGACTCAACTGGGTCATTGAACTCAGCCCCTGTGATGGTCCCCCTTTGTCTTCCAATGGCTCCCTCTTGCCCTTTGACTACATTCCAGCTCCAGTAGGGCCCTCAAGGTGGACTCCTAAGGGGATCTTGCTCTTCTCAGCTACCACTGCTTTCTTCATTAACTGCTCTCCCAGGCTCAGGCTAGCCATGCTGAACCACACACAGTTCTCTCTTTCCCACCGTCCTCTTCTGGAATGTTCTTTGCTGTGTGCCCCTTTTCCTCCTCATGTTTGCCTGGCTAAGGAGCTCACTTCCTCTGGAAACATCTTCCCTGGTGCTGCAGGTCCGGAGTAGGTGCCCCCTTGGACCCCTGGGCCTCTCAGATGTCAATGGCTGTTGACTTGCCTGCACCCCCACTAGACTCGGCAGCTTCCTAGGGACTGGGGATTAAACCATCTCTAACTGTATTGCCTCCAGCTGTAAGCACAGGGCTTGTCACGGATCAGGGACTTCTCAGTGTTAGCTGGGGCAAATTAAGCTCCAAGCAAAGGAAAATGAACTGGTGGAAAAGGCTGACTGGAATACCCTGTTCTGGGGTCTTGTGCCTCCCTTGAGACTCTGCATCCTGCCACCTGCTCCCAGCTGCCGGTCAGCACATACTGATTGTGCACTGGCCCTAGACTAGGCTTGGAGCAGGGGGTAGGGAGGCAGGAATGGGACTGAATGCTTGCCGACCATCCTCAAGGTGTTGAGTTGAGAAAACCAGATGAACTGTGTGCATAGTGAATCTTGGGAATGAGATGGAATATAGCATGACTTCTCAGGGCTAGTGTGGCATGTGCGCCAGCTGCAGTGGCATCTCCTGGGCTCTGGTTAGAAATGCAGCACATCAGACCCTACCAGACCTCCTGAATCAGAACTTGCATTTTAACAAGACCCCAGGGGAGGCATAGGTATGCTGGAGTCTGAGAGGCACTGGTTTACGTGTGACAGTGAGCAGTTTAGTCATGGGCTGCAGTATTTGGAGAAGGCTGCGTTGGCAAGGGAGCAACTGAGCTCCCTTGAGTCTTGGGAGGGCAATACCCAGGGTGGATGAAAGAGGAGAGTATTTGAAGCTGGGAGAGCGTGGAGCCAGGAAAGAACCAGTCTTCTTGCTAGTGATGAATTTTGGCAGAGCAATGGGATCCATCTTCTAAAGGGTCTGATTTGGTAACATCCACGTCACATGTTCGAAAGTTACTAAATCAGATACTAAAATTGAACACATCATTTTTATCACACAGATGTAGATTCTATGTTCTTCCTCAGCAGTAGCAAAGGTGGTGGAAAGCACTCAGCAGGGAGCCCAGACCCAGGTCTGGTTGTGTTTGCTTTGTGTAACAAAGTTGTGGAGTCCTGACCAAGTCACTTTACAAACTGATAATTTTATGCGTTTATGATTTTGTGGGTCAAGACAAAAGCCATAGGCATGGCTCTGCTAGGCAGTTCTACTCTGAGTAGCATTAGCGGAGGCCACTCATTCAGCTGGTGGCAGCCCTGAGTTGGGCTGGAGAGTCCAGTGAGGCTTTATTCATATCTGGCTCCTCCGTGCTCCCCCATGTGGCCTTTGGCTGTCTGCATGGCTAGCATGGGCTTCCTCACAGCATGGTGGCCTCAGACTTCTTATGTGGCAGCTGGCTTACAAGAGGGAAGAAGTGGAAGCTGCAGGGTCTCTTAAAACCTGGAACTGACACATCTTCACTGCATTCTATTGATCCAACTGGTCATAAGCCCTACCCAGATTCAAGGGGAGGGAAAACCGTCTCCATCTCTTGGTAAATGGAGCAGGATACAGGCACAAGGAGGACAGAATTGAGTGTGGCTCTCTTTGGGTAGTGTCTGTAATATAACATACCAGGCTCCATGACGTCATCAGGACCCAGACTCCTTTCTTCTCCTCCATCCTCAGCACGCACTTCCACCTCATGGTCCAAGGTGGCTATTGGCGCTGTAGTCAGCAGGAAGGAGCGAAGGAGGAAGAGGGCACCATTTGTTCCCCTTCAAGGAGATTTCTATTTCATGGCCATGCTGTCTTAGTCCATTTTGCATTGCCATAAAGAATACCTGGGACTGGCCAATTTATAGAGAAGAGGTTTATGGCTCATGGTTCTGCAGGCTGTACAAGAAGCATAGTGCTGATGTCTTCTTCTGGTGAGGCCCTCAGGAAGTTTCCACTCATAGAAGGCGGAAGGGGAATAGGTGTGTCACATGGTGGAGGAAGCAAGAGAGAGGGGAGGAAGTGCCAGGCTCTTTTCTTTTTTTTTGAGATGGAGTTTTGCTCTTGCTGCCCAGGCTGGAGTGCAATGGCGCAATCTTGGCTCACCGCAACCTCTGCCTCCTAGGTTCAAGTGATTCTCCTGCCTCAGCTTCCTGAGTAGCTGGGATTACAGGCATGCGCCAGCACGCCCGGCTAATTTTGTATTTTTAGTAGGGACGGGGTGGACGGGGTGTCTCCATGTTGGTCAGGCTGATCTCAAATTCCCAACCTCAGGTGATCTACCCACCTCAGCCTCCCAAAGTGCTGGGATTACAGGCAGGAGACACCACGCCTGGCCGCCAGTCTCTTTTAAACAGCCAGCTCTCCCATGAACTGATGAGAGTAAGAGCTCACTCTTTACTACCGGGCGGCACCAGGTCATTCATGAGGGATCTGCCCCTGTAACCGCCCACCAGGCCCCACTACCAACACTGGGGATCACATTTCAACACGACATTTGGAGGGGCCTAACATCCATACCCCATCATATGCCTATAGGATGCTGTAAGACAGTATGCCCAGCTAGAAGTCAGAGGTTTGTTCTAAGGAAGAAGGGGAGAATTAAAAGTGGGAGGAACTGGCCGGGGCACTGTGACTCATGCCTGTAATCCCAGCACTTCGGGATGCTGAGGCAGATGGATCACCTGAGGTCAGGAGTTTGAGACCAGCCTGGCCAACATGGTGAAACCCCGTCTCTACTAAAAATACAAAAATTAGCCAGGCATGGTGGTATGTGCCCCTGTAGTCCCAACTACTTGGAGAGTTGAGGCAAGAGAATTGCTTGAACCCAAGAGGTGGATGTTACAGTGAGCTGAGATCGAGCCACTGTACTAGTAGCTGGGACTATAGGTGCGTGCCACCACTCTAAGGAAGAAGGGGAGAATTAAAAGTGGGAGGAACCGCCAGTTGTTATTTCACCTTTCCCAAAGCCAAAACCTGCTTGAAAATTTTAGGGGCAGAAGCTGCAGACAGGGCAAGCCTCAAGACACAGGAGGTGGGTCTCTGGAGTGAACCTACTGGATGTGCCTGCTTGCTCGGGGACCCTCACAGCCTCTCTCTGCCCCCAGTTTACCACAGGCACATGCAGCGACTCGGTGGTTCACAGCTGCGACCTGTGTGGCAAGGGCTTCCGTCTGCAGCGCATGCTGAACCGTCACCTCAAGTGCCACAATCAGGTGAAAAGACACCTGTGCACCTTCTGCGGCAAGGGCTTCAATGACACCTTCGACCTGAAGAGGCACGTCCGCACCCACACAGGTGAGTAGGGAGCACGGGCTTTGTTCTCTGTTTTGTTATTCTGGCCAAGAGCTCCTGTTTCTTCCCCACCAAAGAAGCAGGTCGAGACCATGGAACAATGTTGTGTTTCTAGAAAGATCACAAGATGGGGATCACGAGGTTAGGAGTTCGAGACCAGCCTGACCAACATAGTGAAACCCTGTCTCTACTAAAAATCCAAAAAAAACTAGCTGGGCGTGGTGGTGGGCACCTGTAATCCCAGCTGCTTGGGAGGCTGAGGCAGGAGAATCGTTTGAACCTGGGAGGCGGAGTTTGCAGTGAGCCAAGATCATGCCACTGCACTCCAGCCTGGGTGACATTGCAAGACTCTGTCTCAAAAAAAGAAAAAAAAAAAAGAAAGATCACAAGATGATGGGGCATTAGGGCCAATCCTTCTGGGTTCACCTCCTGACTCTGCCACCTGCCAACTGTGTCACCTTGGGCCAGGTGAGCCACCTGTGGTAGCCTGCCTTTCACCGCTGCAAAATGGAGATACTGATGTGAGTTCTAGTGAGGCTCAAAACGGATCCCTGGCTGGAAGTATTCTGAGAATCATGATGCATGGCACACACGGGGCCTGCCATAGCTCAGCCCTTTGGTCCTGGCTGCTGGAATGTGGGTCTTGTGGCCCCACAATGAGTATTTTATGCTTCTCTCTTGGGACATAAGCCTGTCTCTGGATAGCATCGTGTTCCTCCTGGGAGACAAAAAGGAGCTCATTGCCTTTAGGAGCGTCGAGCCTTCTACTGGAGCCTGGCAGGCAATCGTCTTCCTGTCCTTGGACCTGCCTCAGTTTCCTGACTTAGGAAGTGGGAATCCAGGTTCTCCCCAGTTCCAGTTCTTCACAGAGTGCTGGGGGTGCCCTTGGCCTCTGGTCTCGGCCTCACTGCTTCTATCTTAGAAACACCTGGCCTCCGTGCTTTCCCGCCTGAGCTCCATTGTCCACACCTCTGCCAGAGTGATCCCTCCAGGAGAATTCTAAGGATTCGACTTCCCCAAGAAATCTCCAACTCTGAACAGAACGAAATCCAGACTCCTCATCTCTTATCTTGCTGGGCTTCGTGTAAAGGCCTTTACAGTGTGGGTCCTATCTTCAAATCCCCATCCTATCTCAGCCCATCCCAGCCCATCACGTCCTATCCCATCTCGTCCTATCACAGCCCACCTCAGACCAGCCCATCTCACTCCAATCCATTTCAGCTCATCCTATCCCATCCCATCTTAACCCATTCAACCCTATCCAGGCTACCACCCACCCTCCCAACAGACTTATAGAATTTGCTACCTGCAGGCTGGGTGCAGTGGCTCATTCTCATAATCCTTGCACTTAGGGAGGCCAAGGTGGGAGGATTGCTTGAGGCCAGGAGTTGGAGACCAGCCTGGGCAACATCGAAAGACTCTGTCTGCCCAAGAAAATTTTAAAATTAGCCAAACATGGTGGTGCATGCCTATAGTCCTGGCTACTTGGAAGACTGAGGCTGAAGGATCGCTTGAACGTAGGAGTTTGAGGCTGCAGTGAGCTATGATTGTGCCACTGCACTCCAGCCTGGACAAGAGAGCAAGACCTGGTTTCAAGGGAAAAAAAAGGGTTTACTATTTCAGTCCTTGGTATTTTGGTAGGGATGGGAAGACACTTTCCTCCCTCCAGATGGGGCTCCCAGCTACTCAGCCCTCATACAGGTTCCTTCTTAGGCCTCTGCATCCTATTTTCTAGTTCATATCATGCGTGATTGCTCTTAGAGGATTGGTCGTGAGCTGCCTCCCTGGTCTGGAAAGAGTTTCTGCCACCTTAGAGAGTGGCTGGAATCCTAACATATTTCTTTTCTGTTTTCCTTTTTTAAAACTTTTTCTTTTTTTTTCTTTTTTTTTTTTTTTTTTTTTTTTTTTTTTGAGACAACATCTTTCTCTCTCACCCAGGCTGGAGTGCAGCCACCAACTCCTGGGATCAATTGATCCTCCCACCTCAGCCCCCCTAGTAGCTGGGACTATAGGTGCGTGCCACCACTCCCAGCTACTTTTTTTTTTTATTTTGTACTTTTTGTAGAGATGAGATTTCGTCATGTTGCCCAGGCTGGTCTCAAACTCCTGGGCTTAAGCAACCCACCTGCCTTGGCCTCCCAAAATGCTGGAATTAGAGGCATGAGCCACCACACCCAGCCAAAAACTTTTTCTAAAGAGAACTTTTCATTTCAGTTTAACATACCTCCAGAAAAGTGCACAGATCCTAAGTGTCGACCTCAGTGAATTTAGGAAGTTTTACAAAGTGAACACACTCGTGCAACTAGCAGTCAGACCAAGAAGCAGAATATTTCCAGCCACTAGAAGTCACTACCCCTCCCAGTCTACCTCTTTCTCTCCAAGGAAAACCACTGTTGCAAATTCTAACAGCTTAAGTTACTGTTGCCTGTTTTTGAGCTTGATGTAAATGGAATCCCACAGTGTGCTCTTTGGGTCTGGTTATATGGCTTCTTTTCCTAGCACCAGTGAATCAGTAAAAGTGTGACCTCTGTGAGGCTAAGCTGGCCATCGGGTGGGGGTGAGGAGAATGCTTAGGGAGTGGTGGAGGATCCATAGGGCAGTGGGGGGTCTTATAAGAGGCCTAGGGGAAGGTCTTGAGGCTGTCAAGGGACCCATCCAGCAGAAGCAAAGCTGGGCTTTCCTCCTGACCCAGGGTCAGGAAATCAGGGCCACTCCTGAAGTCGCTGGCCATTGGCGGCCCTGGAGGGTGTCTCAGCCCCTCCTTGAGGGTGTCTCAAGGACATCATCTCTGAGGATGTCCTTAGGGCATTCCCTGCCTGGGTGGATTCTGTGGTCAATCCCCCAACCCTGGCTTCTAGGACACAGTGCAAGGGGCCCAGGGAGCATGGCTGGCTGTTGGTACCGTCAACTGGAGTAAACACTGAGCTGATGGCATTGCCTCCCCTGTGATTGAGTTAATCCTCCATTGCTGGAGACTAAGGGAAATATTAGGGACTGGCAGCTTCTCAGAGAAGAGTTTACAAGTTGAGGCGATCACATAGTAGTTAAGAACTCCTGATCTGAGTTAACTGACTGTGAGACTTGGTCTAAATTATTCATCTTTCACCTTAGTTTTTCCATCACTAGAATGGGTGTGATAATTTTAATACTTGCCACTTAAAGTGGTGGTTGTGAGGTTTTGGGGCCAGAATTACATAAACGTGCTTCTTACATTGTAAGTGCTTAGTAAACATTGGCTATTGCTAGTAGTAACATTGCAACAGTTGGCAGAGGCTTCCTGAGGACCTGATGTGTAACAGGCCCTAGGATTCACCTCGTGCTCATGGAGCTCTCAGCCAACACAGGGAGGAGTAACTCAGACATCTGACTGTGAGACAAGGGAAACAGCAGATATGCCAGAAGAAGAAAAAGTGGCTCATGCCAAAGGGAAGTCCTGGGAGGTGCCGTGTTTCTAACTGCATGTCAGGCAGGCTTCTTAGAAAAGGTGGTCTTTCAGCTGGGCCTTGAAGGATGAGCAAGCTTTCTACAGCAGGACGGAAGGAGGAAGGGCGTGGCTGATGAGGAGTGTCTTAGTTTGGGTTGCCCAAGAAGCAGACACTGACACAAGGATTTGAATGTGAGCAGTGTATTTGAGAGGTGATCCCAGGAAACACAGTAGAGGAGGGAGGGGAGGTCGGGAGGGAAGACAGCCAATTAGAGCTCAATAATAATGAGTGGGTTATCACTATGGGCAATGGGGGCTCCATCCCGCTGGAGATCCTACAGAATGCACTCCAGGTTGCTCGATCAACCCCCATCCCTCCTGCTTGGGTGTCCATCCTGGACCTCCTGACTCGTAGGCAGTTCTCCCTACCCACTGCCCACCCCAGCCCTTTGCAGGCCTGGAGAGCATCCTTAGGCAGAGAGATGCAGGAACCATCTGAGATGCCTGGCAGTCTGCTAAGGGGATATGAACGGGGCATGCACCCTGGGAGGCAGAAGATTTAGCAAGTGAGGAGGGTGGCTCGGCAGAGACTGGGAGACCCTTCAGAGAGTACCATGGCTCCTGCAGACAGAAGCAAGCCACACGTGGTCACTGTCCTTCATGCCAGGCCCCCAGCCTTTATCCTCTCATCTCAAACTACCCCAAGCGGTCAGTGCTGCTGTTCCCCACCTTTTGCAGATGAGGAAACGAGGCTCAGGGAGCTCACACAACCCCTCAGTGGTGGAGCTGAGAACCAGAACCGGCTGACCTGAAGTTCATGGTCTTTTCTCCTCCGTAGGGTCTCCTTCTCTGCCCTCTTTGCCTCCCAGTGCCTTCCTCAGCCTTCTCCCTGAGGCAGGGGCCTCACCAGCCTGCCCTGTTGCAGTTTCTAGAAGCCTGCTTGCTTCTAGAGGAAGGTGAGATAAAGGGAAATGCAGACCTATTAGTAGTACAAACTGTACACCTTGGCTTGGGGTTTAGTAGGTTGTAGAGGAGCCTGTGAGCGTGTGAGTTCAGTGGTGCCAAGATGTCCTCTGCCCACAGAGGAAGCAAGAAAGAGGGTGCCTGTACCCGCTCGGACTCCCAACCTGAGGTTCTCAGATTTTCTCCATCTCCTACTCTTCTAGTGACTCCTGTGAGGGTGCTGAAAATCATTTAAGTTAGTGAATGACGCTTTCCACCTGACGCTTTCCCAAAGGGCTTCACAATTATCGCTTTAGGGGAAAGGCTAGGGCTTAGGAGGCAGCTAGGAGTGAAAAACCTAGAGGTGCGCTGGCTGGTCTGACGGCCACTGATGATGGGTGGCTCCTGAGTCTCAGATGAGTGGCTGGTCCAGATTGAGATGTGTTGTATGCACAAAAGAGACACTAAGTTTCAAGTTGTAATGCAAAAAAAAGAAGGTGTAAAAATCTCGATTTTTTTTTTTTTTTTTTTTGAGACGGAGTCTCGCTCTGTCGCCCAGGCTGGAGTGCAGTGGCGCGATCTCAGCTCACTGAAAGCTCCGCCTCCCGGGTTCCCGCCATTCTCCTGCCTCAGCCTC